TACGCGCGCGTGCGTGCGTGTGTGTTGACTTTCTCAGAATTCTGTACAATATCGTTCCGTCTTCATCCCCACGTTTGAAGATCGCCTTTTTATCTCCGGCGCTTGTGTTCCGGGCGTGCGCACCTGCGTGCCGATCTTTGCGTGCTTACGTGCGTGTGTGTGCGTTTTTTTTACCAATCCCGTTTTGTCGTGTTCCCCCCCCCCCCTGTGTCCCTGCCTCCAGTCGTTTTTTCCCTGCTATCTCGGCTGCACTCGCGCGGGCACACGCACACACGGCAACTGATATGATGGTATCACCACTGACAATGACAACGAGTACGTTGATGATAATGACGATGACCCCATGATGCCGGCGAGATGCTGTATTTTTACGAGTAATTTTGCCTAAAGTTCTCAATTGTAGGTGTATATTGCACTTTTCCGCCTTCCCCCTTCTCCTCTCGTTCCCAATACTAACCCCCGCCCCTGTGCGCACTACGGTGTGGGCGCGGTGCTCTATGGGCATGCTAGGGCACTCGAGTAACTGTCAGTGAGTTGACCAGGATGGGAATTCGACCATTGCGAACGATTATCTCCACCATGTGTCCGCCATGCTGTTGGTCACAAGACCGGTGACTTGCACAGCGCCTACCGCACCGCCTCCTCCTGGGCCCGGGGGCAAGACTGAGTCAGGATGATCGTAGGCGGGCTCGACCACGGTGGCAGTCAAAGCTAAACAACCCGTCTACGCGTGCCACACACGCCCGAGACAGGTTTTTACAGGAACAGGGTAGAGCGGCTCGGATTCGAACCCACTGGAAGTGTCCTGGAGACTAAATTAAGAAGGATCCATTGGAGCCGGACCCTCCGTTCTGTGAGAAGGACCGAATTGTACCGTCAGTTGGCAGCCCTCCAATCCACGGCTTTCAGCGCTTCCTAATAGTTTGAGAGCCCTCCAGAGTGTTAATAATGAGGAATATGTACTGATTGCTGCGGGGGGATGGGGTCCCGGGCTCGGCCACACCCCTCCACCCACCAGTCGACCGTCCGACCGTCTGTCAACCTGCTGGCGATTAGATTGGTCGCAGTAGCTGAGAGAGCACGTCTGCGTGTGCTACTACGATTTAGAGGATAAACTCGGTGAGGTCATACAATCAGTCCCGATTGCTTTGGGCCCACGTATGAGTGCTGTTAACCAGTCAGACCCCATTGCAAGATGGGCGGCAGTCGTTCTTTTCTGAGACCTTGTGGGCCGACACATGTCAACTGCGTCCATTCCTGTACCTTGCTCTTAGTTACACCTCATAAAGTCTTTTCTCTGCCTCGCCGTAGTTGGATGTGAGCTACCACCGAGCGAATTCAGTAGGCTTTGTGGTGATATGCCGGAAGCATGCATTCTTCAGAGTGTCTTCTCGGGAGGGGGGGGGCTGTGATACACAAATCAACCGGACCCACGAAGAACCATATTAGGTGAATTTGTAATGATCCTGAACCCACTGGAAGTGCCATGGAGAACACATAAAGAATGAGTCATTGCCGGCTGACTCTCTGTCCTAAGAGAGGACCGAGTTATTCCGACAGTTGGCAGCCATCCAAGCCGTGGCTCTTAACGTATCGTGATAGTTTGGAAGCCCTTCGGATTGTTTATAATGAGAATGGACACCCTCGGAGTCCATCTCAGCCTCTCTTCAGAAACCAGTCCACTGTCCGAGCCGGTCAGCCAGCCACCCGATGCGTGGATCAGACACAAGTGGCTGACAGAGCTCGTCTGCGCGAGCCACACACCAACCGGTCCCTCCGTACAACGTATCGGGTTTTCACACACAAGGGGGTTGAGCCGTTGAGACATACTCGCAGTCTACTACTCCACGCAAACGGGACTGACCGGGAACCCTGAGGTGTACAGTCAGTTGGCAGCCTTCCAGTCCATGACGTTTAGCGCGCTGTGGTAGATTCAAAGGCACCAGGTTTATGATAGGTTTGGGTTGCGCTATGTGCCGTAACTGTGAGGAGCCCAGTCAATTGCTCAACAGCCTAGGCAGTTTGAAGTACTGTCGAAAGGGGTGTAGTCGAGTGGGTCCGTGGTGCGTGGATTAGTTTATATTGGTGAAGGTTTTCGCAGTAGCTATCTCACTCCCACTTTCCTCCGATGGCACATTGGCCGACCGAGTTACGCGTGCCACACACGATCTGGCCTCCACATCAGGTTTACCAAGCTGCAATATAGGCGGCTCGGTTTTCACATGAGTGAGCGCGTGGCCTTCAGTCTACACTTGGGAGGGCCTACTGCAACCTAGCTCTCAGTGCTCGGGGCACGCCAAAATATTTCAATGCGCCCATGCGTCCAAAACCCGACTCTCCCCCGAACTACTACGAGATCTGCTGGTACTTTGCACCAAGGATGTTCAATTTCTGTTTAATGGGGAACTTTACAGACAAATTGACGGAGTCGCAATGGGTAGTCCACTCGGGCCAACCCTCGCCGATGTTTTTATGGGTTACGTAGAAGAAAAGGTGTCATCAGAATTAAACATGACAACCTTATACAGGAGATACGTGGATGATATATTCACGATTGTTGACAACAAGGAAGACGCCTCCGACCTACTTTGTCTGATGAATAATCTGCATCCTAAAATTAAATTTACGATGGAAATGGAGCAGTTTAACAAGTTACCCTTCCTGGACGTCTTCATGTTTAGAGAGGATGATGGTTCAATAAGACGCTCCGTCTTCCACAAGATTACGTGGAAAGGGCAATACTTACATTTTAAAATCTTTGTGCCAATACAATGGAAACGTAATCTAGTACATACTCTCTTTCAAAGAGCGAGAAATATTTGCTCCAGGGAGACCATAGATACAGAAACTGCCCGAATCAAAGAAGCCTTGCTTAATCGTGGTTATCCTGCACGCTTCATTCAGAAGTACAGCAACAATTTACGGCCAAAGTTGACGGAACAGTCCGTTCCGAAGAAGCCCGTTATAATATGTCTACCTTTTAAGGGTGACAACGTCTCAGACATAATCAAGCGACGCTTGCGTTGCACTATAGAAAGAACGTACAACGCAGCAGAGCTTATATTCATCAGTTCCACAAAAAGCCTTCCAATTAACCGGGCAAAGGATGCCTTGCCAATGCACACCACCCCAAATTGTGTGTAGGAATTCACATGCACTTGCGGATGCAAGTACATTGGGCGTACGCAAAGGCAATTGGCAACAAGGGCCGCTGAGCATTTGCCTAATTGGCTTTTCAAACAGGAAAACAAAACCCCGCGTTCGTCTATAACGAAACACCTGTTAGATAGCGGTCATGTTGTCGACCCTAAAGCATCTTTTCGAGTACTTGTCCGAGCACATACAACTCGAACCTTGCGTTATTTGGAAGCAGCATACATACGGAGAGAGAAACCAGACCTGTGCAAGCAGTTAGATCACGTGATCAATCTGCAATTGCCCTGGTAATCTCACACCTCTAGTCTCCCCTGACTGTGATTTGTTGTTAACATTTCGTCTCCCTTTTCCTATATGATGCTTATGCGGACGTCTTATCTGATTATTCATTGCCTTGAACCTTGACCTTGCTCTTATGCACTGTCATTCTGTACAAATTCATACTGCTGTGCGCTTTCATTCGTTACCTATGCTATGCAGAGACGGGCTGCAGTTGAAAAGCCGTCACGAAATTTATTGGCCCCAATAAATTCTGCTGTACATGCTTGTTTTCAATGAAGACCGAGTTATCCCATCATTCGGCAGTCTTCCAAGGCACAACTCGTGCCGCGCTGTGAGGGGTTCAAACTCGTCTGACTACGGTGAGGAATGCGACGAGTCACTTTGTGGATCGGTTCCCAGTGTCGGCAGTTTGGGACTGCTTGACAATCTCACTCTAAGGTCACGTGAGAACCACCCAGATGGAAAATGCTAGTTCCCACAGCGGCCATGAACGGTGGCATCGCGACGAGTAATCTGGACACAGAAGCTTTAAGTGCAACCTCTGACCTAGTTGCCATCGTCAGGCGGGGTAGACCAAACACCCACTGGGTGGCAAATAAAAGGGTGGGGGGGGGCGATCAGCTGCTAGACCGAATAGTGCCGAGATATGGTGGCAAGAGAAAGCCGGCCAGATGAACCACCGATGACCCAACTGACAGACTTCGACTGCGGACAGTCTACTGATTAACCGACTGAAGGCAGAACAAGATCGAATCAACGCCATCGAACGACAGCTCGACCGTCGATTTCGACTATGTCCACCGCCTGATACACACCAAGGTGCAACAGGCACAGTGACTTGCGCGTAAATTAATTTATAGTGAATGTGGACTTGCACAGCAGCTGCCGCACTCTCCTCTCCCCCCACCTGGGCCTTGCGTCAAGGCAGAGTCAAGAAGACCGGAGGCGGGGTAGGGGCGCAGGTGGATGACACGGCCGAGCCTGCACCTTGGCGCTCCACTCTACACCCCCTAGTCCACACAGCAAATGACCAGGTTTTTGACCAACAACAACAATAGGGGGGGGGCGGCAACGTCTGCCGGCAACCGGGTCTGCTACCGCATACCGAAATTTGGCATCTATTATGGTATGCATTCCGATAACGCCTGTCAGGATCCAATATGGCCCCTGTGTTTGTTCAGCGCATCTACCACGTGACCCGTTTTGGGGACACACACACCTCTGTCCGGCCTGACGGGTGGTTGCCTTGTCATGGTCTCTGTCACCATGTGATCATTGTGCACAAATTCCTGCATGATTAAATGTCCCATCTGAAGCGACAGGCAAAGTCAGACAGAGATCAGCTCCAGGAGGTGCTTACAATCCATTTTATAGACCCCACCCCAGACTAAAATGGACACTGCCCCTGCGTTTTAGCATATGCATGCGTGCTTTGAGTGCATCCCCGAGGAGGCAGGTGTAGGTTCAGCTGTCAGTTGTTGATACCCTGCGCTAGACAGAGCAGTTGTCTCACACTGTCTGTCCAGATGGCAAGGGCAGCGCCAGCGTCGGGCCGCCTTGCCTTAAGGTGAGCGGCTCCAGAAGAAGGTGTAGCCAACATTCCTGTCAATCTGACCCTGTTCTGATGATCGGGTCTCAATGAGAGTAGAGGTGTCCACCTTGTGGCGCGCCAGTTCTGGAACGACTATCGCATCCTCCGTTCCGGTCGATTGCTCCTCGGATTGTCTAAAAGGGGACGAATACTCCAGGCAGCTAGAGTGAGTGGACTTACCCTAACAACCTATAAGCTGGGGCGGGGGAGAGGGGAAAAGATTGGTTGTTGTTGTTGGTGGTGTTGCTGTTGTTGTTGTTGTTGTTGTTGTTGTTGTTGTTGTTGTGTTTCGACCGCGAGTCTTGCATATACGAGCCATGGTATATTAGCAGATGGGGTGATTCTCCAGCATTTGTTTGGGGCACATTTTCTAGCCCATTCTTCACCAGAAGAAGAGCTATCTGCGGCTGTTTAGGCATCCCGGACGGCTGCCGAACTCCGCTGTGGGTCCGGGCTTTGTTCAGTGGAAAGCGACCCGAGTTAGCCTAGGCCCCCTACGGGCTTGCGTGTCGCCTTCCCCACAGGACTTTTAAGTGCGGGGATAGAGTATGGATGGGAAGGGGGGGAGGTGGGGGGGGGGAGGGGAAGCAGAGTTGCCGGCTGCGGGGACACACACAACACCGGATACCCTCATCTGATTTTGCCCACCTGTCGAGGCGATTACTGGGGTGTGGCATCTAGGTAGAACAGAGTTGAGCTTCAAGGAACCACATGTGAGAGTTGAGTGCCAGTTAATGTACGTTAGACGCAGTCGCCATCTGCCAGGGACAAACGATGCGACCCTTACGTGGAACGCCTAACTGGACGTCCCTACATCCTGTAGACCGTATTAATCACGGAGCAGTAGTGCTACCGTGATAAGACAAATTTGGACCTGCTATCAACAGTAGGTTTCCAAGTGCAACCAGTCAAGATTCAGGACAGCTGTGTGTGTACGATCGTCGAGGTTTCGAGCTTTCCGAAGCTGCATGCAAAAGTTGAAAACAAACACGCTTCTAATGACCAACGTATAAACGAAGAAGGAGAGAGTATTTGCAGCCGGACAGGTCGACAGTCTCCGTCTAATGACTCGGTGTATTTGAATGCAGGAAGAGGCAAATCTTAGTGGCTAGGGCGTCCCCCCCAAAGGATCAGCTCTGAGGAGACAAATAACAAATTGTACGAGAACCTGCACGCCCTCCTGACGTCTGTGCTGAAGGCGGACAAAATGGTTGTCATTGGTGCCTTTAACAGCCGTGTCAGGACAGACCACGTTGCATGGGAGAGAGAGAGAGAGAGAGTGCAGGGTCCCCACGGAATCGGCGGCTGTAATTAAAACGGTCTCCTTCTGCTCACCTGCGCAGATCATCGCCTCCTGGTTACCAAAATCCTCTTCTGCCTTCTGATGCGGAGGAAGGCGACCTGTATGTGCCCAGGATCATGGCGCTGACAGTTGCTGGGCTACATTCTCATCCGCAAGCGAGATCTACAGGAAGTGCTAGTGACCCAAGGCGATCTGTGAAGTTGATGGCTGGGTGGATCATCGCCCCGTCATCTCCAAAACAAGGACCCGACTGCAACCCCACAGAAGACCACAAGGTAAGCGACCATCAGGTAGGTTGTATACTGTTTTGTTGAATTTACCTAGTCATCGTCTCCATTTTAGTAATCAACTGACCCAGTGATTGGAAGACCTGCCGGCAGCAGATGCAAACGCCTCCGTGGAAACTGCTGGACCCCATCCATTTGACCGCTTTGGCTGCGCACGTCATCAGCACCAGGACTGGTTCGGCGAAAATGAGGGCCGCCATCAGCAGCCCGCTCGCCGAAAGACCTACACTGACTGTCCGACCGATGCGGACAAAACGGTCTTCTACCGAAGTCGCCGTCTTGTGCAACAGCGGTTGCGAAAAAAACAGGATGCCTCGACGGCTCGCAGGAGGGTGGTACAAGGGCATGCGAATCGCAGTCAATCAAAGAACTTCTCAAGACCACCTACGGTCCCACAGACAAAGGAACTGCCCCGGAACAACCCTTCTAGCCGACAAGTTGCAAATTCTGGAGCTAATGAAGTTAGTGAATATTATGCGTTTATTCGCTGTGGCTGATGGACTTCGGCACAAATATGAATACATAAAATCTCGGTCTGTGCCTACAGACCTTAGTATAAACTGATCTACTCTAAGTCAGCAGTTAATTTCTGAGGATATTAAAAAGCAACAAATTCTGAAGCGTTGAACCGACGACTTCAGAAGTGTCCTCAACCGCCCATCAAACACCTACACCGCCCTCAAGTGGAAGTCAGCCTGGATCTCCCCGCCTCCCTCCCCAGAAACCACTCGCGCCGTGCGACAACTATCCAGCGGTAAACCACCAGGGTCCGATACCGTCCCACCTGAAATCTACAAGCCGGACGGCCACTGAATGGCGAATCGCTTCACAGCGCACTTCCAGGAGATGCGGCGACAAGGACCCGACCTAGCGGACCCAAGCAGAGACAGAACCGGAATTTCGCTTCTCAACATCACCCGGAAGATCTTCGCTTCCATCCTCCTCAACCGTCTCAGTAGCCATCTTCAACGGGAACTTCTACCGGAAAGCCAGTGTGGCTTTCAATGACACTTTGGAACCACTGACATGGTGCGTCAACTCCACGATGGCATGATGGCGCTCGTCACTGACAACGGCGCAATCTCGGAGGCATTAGCAGTGAACAATGGAGGGTGGAGGCGGAACTGCGACCTCGCGTCTACTCTCCTCAGTCTCACCTTCTTTACCTTGCTGATGGACGCCCACTGTGATGAGAGTTTTGGGATACACATCATCTACAGAATCGACGGGCACCCAGGTCCCAACGTGGCTAGAGTCCATGACCTGAACTTCGCGAAAGACTCCGCGCTTAACACCACGACCGAAGAGGGCATGCTACGGAGCACGGACCTCTTCGCTTCCGGGTGTGCCAAATTCGGACAAACAATTAATACGGTAGTCATGCACCCACCGTCGCCTAACAGGGAATGCAACACTCCTCGAATCCCCATCGGTGGCAGCCAATTTAAAACCGTGGACAACTTCGCGTATCTGGAAAGCACGCACTTGCGCAACGCAAGAGGTTGTCTACCGGATCTTTAAAGTCATTTAGGCCATCGTTTGGCTACAAGCCTCCGTGTCGAATCGTCACAGCCTTCAAATGAACCCGTCATTTTGACGACACCTCTATACAGAGCGGTGACCTGGATCGCTTACTCCAGCTATGCCAGGAAACGCAGTCATTTCCATCCCACTTGCCTCCGCAGAGTACCGATGGTAGGACAGGATTCCGGAAACAGAATTCTTGGAACAGGCTCAGCATCTACGCCAGGCTGAACAACTGAAACTGCGATGGAGCGGCCACCTGGTGAGGTTGGACGGTGAGCGATTACGCCCAAACAATTCGTCCGCGGAGATGCCGCTACGGGTGTACGCCAACAGGGAGGACTAAAACAACGCTACAGAGGAACTTTGAAGAACTCACTGGATCGACCGGAGACCCGGAAGAACCTCGCAGAGAACAGATCGGCCTGGAGAAGAGAAGTGAAGAGAGGCGCAGCAGTCCATGAAGCAAACCGGATCGTAGTTGCCAAAACCAAAAGGCTGGCTCGCAAGCGCCTGGGATCTGACAGTTCGACCGTCGTTGCCGACAATGTCCACCGTGTGCTCCAAAGCATGGTGAGAGCCGGCAGGGTGACTTGCGCATGAGTTAGCCTATAGTGGTAGTATACTTGCACAGCATCTACCGCACTCTCTCCTCCTAATCCCCAACTCGGCCCGGTGTCAAAACACAGTCAAGAAGACCGGAGGTTGAGGAGGGCACAGATGGATGCCACGTACGAGTCCGCTCCCAGGAGCGCCACCACACCCCCTGGTCCACACAGTAAATAATCAGGATTTTAACCAATAACATTATCTACAACGACAGCAGTAGAAAGACGATAATGACTGGGCACCCGTGCTCACGACCTTTATACGCAGCGGGAGCGCAACCGCATCTACCGGCAGGGAACTAGGTGTCAGAGAACGGCCAGCGCATACCAGAGTGCGGGGACCATTGTATGCTGCTCCTAGCATAGCAGACACTTGCAGAAGGGTGACACGTGACCCTGCATTTTCCTGAGCCGTCATCCCTAACACCTTGGTAACCAGACAGTCGCGACTGATGGGCGCTACCCATAAAGCACACACACACACACCCGACAGTTCGACCATCGATTTCGACGATGTCCACCGTGTGCCCCACAGCTGCATCAGCGGTGGGAGCAGGGACGGTGATTTGCGCAGGGGTTTATAGTGCCGGTAGACTTGCGCTGCATCTACCTACACTCTCTCTTCCTCCCCCGCCTGGGCCCGGTGTCAAGACAGAGTCAAGAAGACCGGAGACGAGAGAGGCCGCAGGTGGATGGCTCGGACGGATCCTCACCTTGGCGTTCCACCACACCCCCTGGTCCACACAACAATAACCAGGATTTCAACCAACACAACAGAGATTTGGAGGCTGGCACGGCCGAAGCCGCACCTAGGCGTGCCGCCAACGCCTGGCTCGGATCCCACACTGTGATGGGAGTGCCATAAGGGCCACATTAAAAAGGAGCCATTGCAGCCTGACTCTCAGACCGCCTCCGGTCAAGTAGGAGGTCCAAGTTACCCCGTCATTTGGCAACCTTCCAAGCCACGGCTTTAAGCGCACCGTGATAGCTTCAAGCGCGTCAGATTGTTTATAGTGAGGAGAAAGTGCGCTGAGTCGTCGACCTCACTCTCTCTTCTCACTCCCGCACCCCAGCCGCTGTCCGAGCCGGTCAGCAGACTGGAGTGGGAAATGGGCGCGGTGGCTGTCATGGACGAATGACCATGACTGCGCGCGCCACGGCACGACCTGGCCCCCCATGCACACAACACCAGGATTTCACACAACGGGGGTTGAACGGCGTGTGTCTCACTTGCGTGAGAGTGCCGTGGAAGGTGCTGTTTCAGCCCGTTCCCAGCCCACTAGTGCGCCACTCCAAACAACACACACACACACACACACACACACACACACACACACACACACACACACACACACACAACGCGACGAACTGCGTAAACCGAGAGCGGGCGTCAATCAGCAACCTTCCTATCCACGACGCTTGACGTGTCGGGATAGTCTCGGACTCAAGTCACCCGTGCAGCCGAGGCCGCTTGGGGACCGAGTAGAGATGCACACTTCCCACTTGCGTGGGAGGTGGCAGTTGGGTGCATGAGGTGTGTGAGTGTTGATTTCTGGTGGGGTGATGGTGGTGGTGGAGGAGGTAGGGAGTGTGTGGATGTGTGGTGTAACCGGCGGTTGTCTACCGCAGGTCGTCGTGGATGCGCATTTGGCCGAATGGGCCCATAAGATGCGTGAAGGTGCGAGGGCAGTGGGAGCAGTTGAGACGAGCTTGGTGGGTATAGGTGGGTGCTCCAGGCACTGGTTCGCCAGTCTCTGTGCGATGGATTCGCAAGTGACCCACCAGGCCGATGCGTGAGGTGAAGGTGCGTGGACAATGTGGGCATGAGAGGTCGGCGGTGTCGGTGTCAGCTGTAGAGGAAGCAGTGGTGTAGGTGGTGGTGGTCGGCGCGTGTGACGGTGGAGCGAGGATGGGTTCGGGCGTGGTGGATGTATTGGATGTCGTGCCTGTATCGGAATTGTGGTCAATTCCGCTCTCGTGGATGCGCATGTGGCCGAAGAGACCCATGCGATGCGTGAAGGTGCGAGGGCAGTGTGGGCAGTGGAGGCGAGTGTGGTGAGTGTAGGTTGGTGCTCCAGGCACTGGTTCGCCAGTCTCTGTGCGATGGATTCGCAAGTGACCGATGTGTGAAATGCGTGAAGTGAAGGTGCGATCGCAGTGAGGGCAGGTGTAGTCCTGGCCCTCACGTCTGATGATGGAGGTTGCAGGGGTTGTGCCGGTTGTTGTGCCAGGTTCGGCTGTGGTGAAGTCGTGGGCGACAGACGCCGGAGCGGCCGTCGTTGTGGCAGTGATGGAGGAAGAGGAGGAAGGGGAGGAGTGGGAGGTTGTAAGGTCGGTGGCGTCGATGTCTGTTGGGGAGTGGTTAGTGGGCGAACAAGGTGGTGGACTGGGAGTGGGGCTCGGCGGGGAGGATGTGTCAAGGCGGCGGTCAATTCCGCTCTCGTGGATGCGCATGTGGCCGAATAGACCCATGCGATGCGTGAAGGTGCGAGGGCAGTGTGGGCAGTGGAGGCGAGTGTGGTGAGTGTAGGTTGGTGCTCCAGGCACTGGTTCGCCAGTCTCTGTGCGATGGATTCGCAAGTGACCGATGTGTGAGGTGAAGGTGCGGTCACAGTGAGGGCAGGTGTAGTCATGATCCTCATCAGTGGTATCGGGAGAGGTGGGAGAGGTGATGTTGGTTGGTGTGTTGGGGTTGGTGATGTGTGAGACAGCAGTCTGAACAGCCGTCGCTTGGGCAGTGGGGAGGGTGGAGGACGACGAGGATGGAAGTGGTGGTGCAGGAGGAGTGTCAGAGTTAGTTGGCGGCAGAGAGCAGGAGGAAGAGGCGGGCGGGGGAACGATGGCTGGAGCAGTTCGAGAGGTGAAGTTGATCCGAAGATGTCCAACAAGTCCGATCCGTGCCCGAAATGTCCGTTGACATCGAGGACACGTAGGTAGAGGTTGTGCGGCGGCGTTGCGGACTGGGCGAAGTTGTGATTTACGGGCTTCGCGTTTCACTTTGGCGGCTGCGATGCGGTTGGCTTCATAGATAGCAGCGCCCGTCTTCACTGTTCTCCTCCATGTCGGACGATCGCGAGCGAGCTCTTCCCAGTTGGTCGGGTTGATTTGCAGGCGCTTCAGGGAGGACTTCAGAGTATCCTTGTAACGGCGAATTTGGCCTCCTTGACGACGAGAACCCGTCGCGACGTCTCCATAGAAGAGTCGTTTGGGTAGTCGCTCGTCATCCATGCGCACCAGGTGGCCGCTCCAGCGCAGCTGCATTTGTCTCAGTATGGCGTAGATGCTGAGGATTCCCGTTCGTTCCAGTACTTCCGTGTCGGGGATTCGATCCTGCCAGTTCAGCCTCAGAATGCGGCGGAGACAGCTGAGGTGGAAGTGGTTTAGTCGACGTGCCTGCCTCGTGTACACCGTCCATGTCTCTGCTCCGTACAGTAGCGTCGGCAGGATGACGGCCTTGTACATCTTCAGCTTTGTGCTCAGTTGGAGACCATGACGATTCCAAACTGTGCTTTGGAGACGACCGAAGGCTTGACTGGCTTTCGAGATCCTGTTGGCCACTTCGTCGTCGATCTTGGTGTTGCGGGAGAGCGTGCTGCCCAGGTACGGGAAGTTCTCTAGCACTTGCAGTTGAGTCCCATTCATGTTGATATGCGGCGGCGCGTTGGGGGCTGTGGCTGAGTTGGGAGGCGGCTGATGCATCACCACCGTCTTCTGCGTGTTGATAACCAGCCCAAAGTTCTCGCAGGCGGCGGAGAATAGGTCCATGCTCCGTTGCATCTTCTCTTCCGAGGTGGTGTTCAGGGCGCAGTCGTCGGCGAAGAGGAGTTCGTTCACGGTGGCTGTGGATACACGCGATTGGAAGTTCATGCGCCGGTAATTCAGGAGGTGAGCGTCCGTCCCGTAGGCAATGCGGATTCCAGGGCGTTTGTCGCGGTAGGCGTCCATCAGCATGGCAGAGAACATAAGACTGAAGAGGGTTGGTGCCAGTACGCATCCCTGCTTCACTCCGTTGGTCACTGCGAATGCCTCTGAGACAGCTCCGTTGTCCGTGACTCGCGCCATCATACCGTCGTGCAGCTGACGCACCATCTGAGTGAATCGTTCCGGACAGCCGAATTTCTGCATGATCTTCCACAGTCCTTCACGATTCACCGTGTCGAAGGCTTTCGTCAGGTCCACGAAGGTAGAGTACAGGTGGGTCCGCATCTCCTGGCACTTCTCCTGAAGTTGGCGGGCGGCAAAGATCATATCCATGGTCCCACGATGACGACGGAAGCCGCATTGGCTTTCCGGCAGTAGGCCCTGTTACAGATGGTTGTTGAGGCGGTTGAGCAGGATGCGAGCGAAGATCTTCTCGCCGATGTTCAGTAGGGAGATGCCGCGGTGGTTGTCGCAAACTTGGCGATTCCCTTTGCGCTTGTATAGGTGCACGATAGTTGCGTCCTTGAAATCTTGCGGGACTTCACCTTGACGCCACATCTCCTGGAAGAGCGCAGTCAGGTGATCCATCAGTTGGGGACCTCCGTGCTTGTAGACCTCAGCAGGGATGGCGTCCGATCCGGGTGCTATCCCGCTGGAGAGCTGCTGCACGGCCCTGATCGTTTCCTGGAGAGATGGCGGGAGGTCGAGGTCCACGTTGGTCGCCACTTGCGGTAAGCGGGCGATGGCGGCGTCGGAGATGAAGGAAGGGCGGTTGAGGACGCCTCGGAAGTGCTCGGCCCATCGCTGTAGAATTTGCGTCTTCTCAGTCAGGAGAGTGTTGCCGTCGGTGCTGAGGAGAGGAGCAGTGCCCTTCGTCGGCGGACCGTAGACAGCTTTGATCGCGGAGAAGAAGTTCTTCCATTCGTTGCGGTCCGCGTAGCCTTGGATCTCCTCAGCTTTGCGAGCAGTCCAGGCGTCCTGCATCTCGCGCAGTCGTTGCTGAAGCTGTCGGCGACTGCGGTAGAAGGCAGCTTTGTTGTCCTCAGTGGGGTGATCTACGTAGGCTTTGTGTAAGCGGTTCTTCTCGGCAAGCAGATTTCTGATGGCAGCGTCGTTGTCGTCAAACCAGTCCTGGTGTTGGCGGGGAGCGCGACCGAGGACGCCAAGCGCTGTCGACTGGACCGTGTCTCGCAGTTGACACTAGCGGTTCTCCTCGGAGGTGTTCTCGGCAGCGGCGGCGGCAGCGATAGGAAGGTTGTCTAGCCGTTGAGCTAGCTCGTTGCTGAAATGGAGACGGTGAGCAGGCAAAGACAACAAAGCAACATTCAGCTTACCTGGGGGTCGCTTACCTTGTGGTCTCCTGCGAGGCTGTAGGCGAATACGCATCTTCGAGATGACGAGGCGATGGTCGGTCCACCCGTCAGCACCCGCGATCGCCTTCGTCACCAGCACGTCCCGCTGATCTCGCCTCCGGACGATGACATAGTCCAGCAGGTGTCACTGACGCGACCGATGATGCCTCCACGTGGCCTTTTCCCGCTCCGGCAGACAGAAGAACGTGTTCGTCAGGATGAGGCGGTGTTCTGCGCAGGTGCGGAGGAGAAGCAGGCCGTTGTCGTTGGAGCCGCGGAGACCGTGAGGACCCAGCACTCTCCTCCAGGCAGTATGATCTGTGCCGACGCGGGCGTTGAAGTCACCAAGGACAATCAACTTGTCCGCCTTCGACACAGTCGCCAAGAGGGCGTGCAGGTCCTCGTAGAATTTGTCTCTGACGACGTCGGAACTGGTCATCGGCGGAGCGTAGGCGCTGATGATGGTGGCGAACTTGCCTCCTCGCCGGAGGGGCAGGCGGTGGCTCATCAGGCGAGCGTTGATTCCCTGCGGCAGACAGGGCAGTCGTCCCACGATGTCGGTCCGGATGGCGAAGGCGACGCCCGCGTCTCGTCGCTCTGCCCTGGGTCGGCCACTCCAGAAGAAGGTGTAACCGGCACCCACCTCCTCTAGTTGGCCTTGTTCGGAGAATCGGGTCTCGCTGAGTGCGGCGATGTCCACCTTGTAGCGCGCCAGTTCTCGTGCCACTAGCGCCGTCCTCCGTTCCGGTCGGTTGCTCCTCGGATTGTCTAAAAGGGAACGAACATTCCAGGCTGCCAGAGTGAGCGGGCTCACCCTGTCAGTCTGGGGAAAACGAGTGGGGCGACGGGAAGGAGGTGGAGAAGATGACGAAGGAGAAGAATAGGCAGAAGAATAGACGGAGATAGAGGTAGAAGAGGTAGGATGAGGAGAAGGAGTATGGTTGTTGTTGTTATTATTGGTATTGTTGTTGTTTCGGTTTTGAGTGTTTCGACCATGTTTAGACGTCTGCGGCCCTGGCTAGCCTGGAGACGGCGTGGTGCCCAGCAATGTTTAGGCCACCTTTTTTAGGCCCTCCCCCGTAATGGGGACAGGCAGTGCCCCCCGAATCGGGCTGCCTGCGTGCCTGTTTGGCGCGACCGAATCCCACTATGGGACCACGACTTTATGCTTGTAGTGGAGAACGACCGCATATGCCGAGGTCTGCGGTCTCCGTCGGCGTAGGTGGGCGCGTCTCAGCGAAGGCGATGCGAGGACCCATCCCGGCAGCAGCTGTCCAACGGCGTACCAGGGAGAGCCTCGTCTCGACGACGCCGGCGCAACGTTTCATCCGACCAAACGTCCAGCGGAGCCCGCAGTACACTGTGCACGCTGCACAAGCGCACAGCGCCCTCACCTGGTTTAGCCCGCCGGTCGAGGCGGTTGCCCGGGGTGTGGCCGCTGAGCAGAGCCCAGCTACGTGGAGCCACAGGTGAGAGTTGGGTGCCAGGAAATGGATGCTAGGCGTAGTCTCACCTGCAGGCAAGTGAGCGACCACTACGACCTTCACGGGAACCCACCGCTGGACACCCCTACACCCCATAAAGCACACACACACACAAATGGGCAGACCGCGTGTACTGATTTGAGGCCTCTGTCGGCAGCCCTCAAAGCCACGGCACTCGACGCACAATAATAGTGTCGGACTCGGGTCACACATGCAGCAGAGGAGCTACATGAAGAAGGGGTCGAGAAACCCACTCCCCACTGGCGTAGGCGATGTCAATCGAGTGTTTGCGGTGGGTGATGTTGTCGTGTGGTGCAGGTGCTGGTGGGGAAAGGTGTGATGGTGTGGTGTAGCTGGCGGTTGTCTACCGCAGGTTTTCATGAATGCGCATGTGGCCTAATAGGCTCGTGCGGGGGCGGAGTGTGAGGGAGCAGTTGAGGCGGATGCAGCGAGTGTAGGTTGGTGCTCCGAGCACTGGTCCGCCAGTTTCTGTGCGATGGAGTCGCAAGTGAGGCAAATGTGCGATCGCAATGACAACAGGCTGGGGCCGAGTCCACAGTGCTGGTGTTGGCGGTGGTGACGTTGAGGTTTACCGGTGCGTCAGCAGGAGCCAACGCATCAGTTGTTGAGGCGGTTTCAAAATGGCACTGGGAGATCAGGAGCGCGGTTAATGTTGCTTAT